CAATTTTTTTCAATTCAATTTTATCATGATAATCATGATCATGATAATATAATTTCCAAAATCTATTAATCAGTTTGGTTAAAAAAAACCTACAAATTTGTCGGTAAAAGGAAAGAAGAAATCGAAAAAATTAAATTTATACCATTTTGGTTGACCTTATTCAGTTGGAGACGTAATGATCTAAGTCGTCACAGTCAAAAGAGTCAAAAGAGTCAAAAAAATACTACTCAAACATTATTATTAACATCACAAATAGTAAATTCGCTCTTATTTTTAAATATACTTAATTTTATTCCAAAATTAATAATACGTGAGATTTGGGCATTTGTTATAGAATATCTTAGTCCTGAGGTACCAGAAAGGTCCTACGCGCTTCGAATTCTTGATTATTTTCATACGCCAACACAAATTTCAACCATATCTAGTCCTTATATGTTATTTTATTGTTACTTATATGCTGGATTTTTATATCAGAACATGGATTACGTATATCATGCATTTAAAGTCTTTGCGGCTATCTTATTATGGATTATACATCGTTCCCATTCTTCAAATTATCATATGAATATGCGATCATATTCACATCCTCATCAAAATAGTTCGTACAACATAATAATTATTCACATGACTTTTTATCTGTATTCATTATTAACTACAACACCTCAATTATTCAACAAGCCATTTTTATCTCAAAATCCGAAAGATCTTTGGTCAAAAAGATGGCATCAAATATATAGATCAAGTTTTACAGAACTTGGTTATTTTCCTATAATTAATTTCTTTGAAAAATTTAATAATTCATCATTAAGAGTAACATTATTAGATTATATTAATTCTGCTGGAAAATTACTTAGAAGACTTGGTTCTTTATTAGGTTGTAAAACGTTTTTAAGGAATAAAAAGATTCAAAAGGATATTCAAAGCATCACAGAAATTATTAATCAAAATGATGAACTTTTAAAGAACGATCAAATTTTTAAAAATAATGTTTCAACTTTTACTATTATTTATAGTGAAATTTCGAGAGCTTTAGCAGTTATAGGTAGTTTTCTTTGGAGTGCTATATTGCATGAATATTTATTTATTGGTTTATTTGGTTGGAGTAATAGTAGAGGTGAACATTTTTCTTTTTTTTTGGTACATGCATTTATAATGATTATTTGGGGTTTATTAAGCAAACTGATTAATAGATTTTGGAAATTATATTATCATGATCATGATTATCATGATAAAATTGAATTGAAAAAAATTG